ACTTATGGTTTTGGTTCTTTTTTATATGATTTTGTTGCTATTTGTAGGGAAGAGTTGCCAATGTCGTACCACAAAGTTAAATCATACATAGGTAGAGCTCGCATTGCAGTGGAAGAGGTAAACTCGAATGTACCACGCGAGCTGACCACACCAATTAGTGTGCATTGTGTACGTGTAAAGTTTGGACCTTAAATTATATATATGTAGACTTTACTTTGCAGTGGAAGAAGTAAACGAATGTACTACGTGACGACTGTTTACCCACGCAGTTAATGAATGCAAATTTGAGATTGAGAGGTTCAAAGCGAGATTTAGATATATTCTGGATGGTGGGAGGAGTGTAGAGAGTTAGAGACTTAGTGAGGGCGGAACTAAGATGGTGGAGAAGGATGAAAGGGGGCGGGAAAAATATGAAGAAGGCAGTACAAGGAAATGTGCGAGCGGAAAAAAGAGGTAGAAAGAGAGGGGTTTATAAGGGAAGTGAGCGAAGCAAAGAGGGAAGGCGAGGTGTGGAAAATAATCAGAAAGGAGGGGAATGGGGAGAAGATATATGGAGGGTATTGATATGAGCGATTAAAAGGAATATTTTTTGTTAGTCTAACGGGCAGAGAAGGGTAGAGCAGAGGATGATATGACAGTGAGGCTGAGGAGGAGATAGTGGATACGGTGGTGAAAACGCTGAAGAGAGAGAAGGCAGCAGTCAGAAGAATGGGATTTCGCATGAATGCAGGAGGTTTGCAAGAAATGAGCTGAGAAGCGAAATGGTGAGGATAGTGAACAATGGAAGGATCACCGGAGGAATGGAAGGTGGGAGAGGTAGTCCCGAGTTTAAAGAAACGGGAGGGGAAGGAAGTTGGGGATTATAGAGGGGTGCCGTAGATGCCAACTTTGTACGCGGCACTGTTCGAAGATAGGCTGGTAGAGATAATAGAGCAGAGAGGGATGATCCCGCAGGACCAGACGGGTTTAGGAATGCAATGGGGACGATGGACAATATCTACGTGCTAAACTGTTTAATAAATAGGCTGTTGGGAAGGAAGGGTGGGAGGCTATTCGCGATGTTTATAGACATAAAGGTGGTATTTGATTGGTGAATACGGGGGAGTTGTGGAAGATGATGGAGGAGGGGCCTAATTGAAAGGATATTGGAAATATATAGGGAGATGATGAGTAGGGTAAGAGTGGGAAAGGAGGAAGGAAAAGATTTCGAGACGGGTACGGGATTAAGGCACGGATGTCTGTTGAGCCTGGTGGTGCTTAATTTATTCCTGGCGGATATGGAGGATGTGTTAAGGGGAAAAGGAAAGGGAGGAGTAATAATCTGGGGTGAACAGAGTTTATTCGTTGACGAACGCGAACGATATAATGTAACTGGCGGATGGGGAGGGACGGTTGAAGCTAATGGTAGGGAAGATGGTGGAGTACTTGAGGGGAGGTGAACACCAGAAAAGCAAAGGTGATATGTTTCAGAAAGAGCGGGGCTAGAGAAAGGGAGAGGGTATAAAAGTGGGAGAGATAGGAAATTGACGAAGTAAGAAGCTTTAGTTATCTGGGGTATATGATTGAGAAAGGTAGAAAGCAGGAGGAGGGTATAAAAGAGAGTGAGGAAAGCTAGGGGCGGGGCTTTCGGATAGGGAAGTTTGGGAAGGTTTGGAAAAGAAGTGCGTGGATATTCAACACGATGGTATAGTCGGTAATAGAATATGGAGCTGAGAGATGGGATTAGTAGAGCTACAGTAGAATGGAAGGTATGCCTAAGCAGTTTCTCAGATGGGTTTTAGGAGTGAACTGGACAACGCCGGGATATATGATAAGGGAGGAGTTGAAAAGGAATAAAATATGGGTGAGAGGGTAAGATATGGGAGGGACGGCGGAGAGGGTATGAAATTTCGGTCAAGACCGAGGCCATTTGGCTGTATGTCAGACGTCGACGGAGGGGTCCTCACCTCGATACGCGTAGGAGAAACTCGCATAAAGGTCGGGGTCTCCATGAGGTACCTCGGCCTCGAGTTGGACAGCCGCTGGAGTTTTTGCGCTCACTTCGTAAAGCTGGTCCCCCGAAACGAGGGATGGCGGTTGCCCCGAGCCGTCGGCTCCTGAACCTCGGTGAGCCCAGCGAGAAGGTTCGCCGTCTGTACGCGGGAGTCATGGCGTCGATGGTGCGCAACGGCTCCCCGGTGTGGGCGGGTGCCCTGATGGCCAACAGGCGTAGCCGCGAGCTACTGAGGCGCCTCGAGAGGAGGATGGCCGTCAAGGTCGCCCGTGGATATCGCATGATAACCTTCGAGGCGGCGACCGCCGTCGCGGGGATCGTGCCCTACGATCTCCTGGCGGAGTTGGACGAAAGGGTTTATCGCTTTGTCCTTGCCCCCCCGGGGGGGGGGGGGGGCGAGATTACAGGTTCGGCGACTGGTCCGGTCCAGCTGACGTGAACGTCATCGCGCCAGGGCCGGGCACAGGACGGTCGGGGCGGTACTGACCAATTCGGAGGATTGCCTGGGCCGCGGCTCTGGCGGCGTTACGCCCGCCTCCCGAACTAGCCACCGTTACCCTTATTCATTTCTTTTGTGCTCGGGTGGCACCGGTGAGGGACCAGGGAACTCAGTACCTGGCCCCGTTTGCAGTCGGTACCGCAGAGGGCGGCAGAGGGGAGCTCGCTTCTCTTATTGCACGTCGTGTTGAGGGCGGCGACTCGGCAGCCTGCGTCATGCCCGCGACCGGGTCATGGGAGCTGTAGGGGTCACGGGTAGGGCCCCCGCGGGGGGGGCTGCGGTAACAAATCGATCTCGTGCCCCCCCCCCCCCCCCCCTGCACATACGTAGGCCACCTTGTGGTTTTTAGTGGGTGCAAGTACACTACCTCCGACCATTCCCTTGGGGGGGGGGGGGGGGGGGGGGGGGGGCGTATGCGTCAAGCATTTCCCCTCGTAGAAAAAAAAAATGTAAAGCATTAGATTAAGGTTTATGTTAAGAGGGGTAACGGGGTCCCGTTTACAATGCGAAAAGGATGCAACAAAATTGCATACGTACATAATTAATAAGGGTAATAGAATTCATTATCCATGAATTCGTAATATGTAATGGGATTATGACCCATTAACCAATACTTTTAAAGGTGAAGTGAAACCCACCTCAAATCAGTCGAGTCGAATAAGATACTTCTTTTTTAAGGGTATTTGATCGACTGTTTGAAACTTTGACACATTACTCGTGATCACCTAAGAATTGTCCTGACACTTTAAAAATTAGGATTTTCGAAAAAAAAAGTTTTTCTTATCTTAGATCAGAACCAAAATAGCGTCGAGGTCTCATATTTCGCTCGATATATAAGTACTGAAGGCTCTGATATGAAAAACGATGGTATCAGGACACTTGCCCAACAATTTGGAACATTCTAGTAATCGAGAAACTCGCATTTGAACGAAATAAGGGCAGAGAAAGTGTTTTCTGTGCTTCTATACTAAAACGAAGGTAACGCGAGATCTCGGAGAGAAAATTTAGTTGACACTAAAATCACAGATGGCATAGGGTGGCATTCTGCAGAGAATTAGGGTATTGAAAACCGTGAATCTAAGGGGTTTCTAGTTTTACTTCGATTTCTTTATAAGTATTGTACGGAAATGACATATGGAGTACGCTATTTAATGCAATACCTAATATAATTCAACACGGCTGTCGATATAAATACAGATATCGGTAACGTAGGTATTTAGAAGAATCTTCTTTATAATACCAATGTCCATCAAATTTCTCGACGCGTTTCAGTTCAGCTTAATAAGTAATGGATTCGTATCCGGTTAAGCATTATATTTTAATAAAGATTTATGTTGACGTCTGTTACACTCTACATTGAGTTCATACGAAATAAAGTACTCCATATACAATGTCAATAAAATGATTAAAAAGAGATCGAAGTAAAACCCAATAAATCCCTTGGATTCAGGTGTTTTGATACTCTAATCGAACAATGGCGCCATCTGCCACATATAGCGGTAACTAAGTTTTGTTCTAATGGCACATATAGAGCACGTGTTGATCACGAGATATACGAGAGTAACTACACACATTTTTAAAACTTTTCTCGATAATTCCCACACGAATTTGCAATATTTGATTACGATAGTATTCTAAATTATTATGCCTGGTACGTGAAAGTCTTCGTTTTCAATTCAAAGATATTAAAAGGTGTAAAACATTAAAAACATTTGTTCTAGTTTGAAATAAATTAAAAAATATATTGGGAAAAAATGTCATGAGTGTGTCGGTTTTTCTTAGGGCCTCTGTAATCACATGCAAAAGTTTCAGATCATTCGATGCACCCTGTGCGAAGAAAAGTTTATAGATATTTTGATACTTCAGAGGCTACTTTTATATCACCTTAATGCAACTTTCGTTCAAAGTTTTATAGAGTTCTTGAAATTTGTTGTGTGCACACGTCAGACGAGAAAGATAAACCAGGTAAGCAGATACAATTCCATTTTCTGAGATATCACGTACGTAATTCTGGAAATTGTGTGGTTTTCGGACCGGAAATTAATTGATATAAGTATTTCACGTTAAGTACTTTAAAGCGTTAATTAATATTCAAAAAACTCTTATTCGAAAATTAGTGATTTTCAAACTTTCAAGTAATTATATTTCATAAATATTTGGATTCTAGAATATTTTTTATTTATTTCAAATTTAAGATTCCTGGTTTAAAAATCGTCCTTTAAAGTTCCTGTAAGAAATTTTCTTCATATATAAAAAAATTAATTTTTTTCGATTTAAGAAAAGGCTCACGGTTTTGTTTACAACAATTAATAATTTGCTTAAAGCGAAATTTTGATGATATGGAGTTAAACTAGAAACATAAAGAATGATATATAGTTTTTAAATGATCAAACCCGTTAAATAGTCAAAAGAATATGGCAGTTTGAAATGTTGTCAGACCCACGTGCGTGTTCGCCGAAGTTCTTTACGTGCATGTCTAGGGTTAAATAAATGTAATGAATAGCATACTGTTGTATTTGGAAGATTATTTCTCTTCAGAATCCGATGTAATTCACTAAGGGCTACGACCCACTTGGTTTTTTCACTCTCAGTGTCCGCAAGCATTAAAGTATGATTTCGCAACCCAGGTGGTTCCAACAATGATGTTGTTATCTATAAACATAAATATATTTATACATGTTAACATTGAATTAATTCAGTATGAAAGAGCATATTGTTTGTTTAATTCTGACCAAGCATCGTACTTTATATTGCATGGTAATCAAACACCAAAAAATATTTTTAATATGCATATATATGCATTATTGAAAACAATGGTTTTTAACCGTTATTTTTGATATTGGCGGAACAGTTTGATTATAAGAAAAATTTGAGAATAATCAAAGTTGCTGAGGTAGGAGTATCCAAACCTTTGATTTGTTTAGGCCTTAAATAAAATACATGAGACATAACATAGTTGACGTACATTGGTGGACATAAACGCTTTCTTTATATATATTATGCTACCAGTATATGATGGAAAGACATTCATATCGGCCAGTGTACGTTGGTAGCATAATTTCCTTTTCGCTTCTATGTTTCAAATTACACAATCGCGTTATATATCGGGTGGAGCATTTAACTTAAGACACTATCGTATATGGTGAACCGAAGTAATTTAGAAGAAAAAGTGTTTTGAAGTCAAGGGAGAAGTATAATGGTAATGTTCATTACTTATTTTAAGTTCATTACCAGTGTAAATTTCTAAGTCTTAAATGAAAGCCTTTTTTTTTATCGTGGCATTTTAATATATAGAAAAATGAAAGTAACTTTCATACGAAACTTTTGTTTGTACGGTTTCAATTTTGCAAGATAATAAAATTAATATCAAGAACTTTCCATTCTGAATTATCTTATTCAATAGCTTCGTTTTATTATTTACATCAGTCAACCTGTGTAATGGCTTAGGGAAAACACTCTAATTACAAAAAACTTAATTGCGTTCTTCATTTTAGTAAATGTTCAAAAAGACGAACTTTAACATCAATGTATAAGTAAATGCTAATGCACGATATGAAAGAATTATGATATTGCATTAATTTGGCTTCTACGATTTTTCTAGATGCTTCACTAATACATTCCGTTATATTTTGTGAAGACGTTAGAACTGCTTGGTAAATTCCTTCTTTAAGAACATCTCGCAAAAAGAAATCTGAAGAAGTAAGATCTGATGATCTAGGAGACCATGCAATTAAACCACATTTATCAATCCAGTTCGGCTATTGCAGTTACGCGGCACTTTCTTTTCTTGGGCTCAACACTTCCATTTACTGTAAAATCACTCATAATGCGATAAAAAAGAATATCGCGATAGAGTATTTCTGCAAGGAAAATGCTCTGCCTACAATGTCACAGTAAAGTAGCTCTGATTTTCAAAGTTTGAATTTTCTTCGTGCTACCCCCCAGTTTGGTTCCATTTTATGTAAAAATAATTTGTGTAGAATTTGAGATTAATCAGACAAAAGGAAAAGGTGCTTCTGGGCCCTTGAAAATAGAAAAAACCGTAAAATTAAAGAAAAAATCAATTTTTAGTGCCTATCTTACTAAGTATTAATTAAATATCAAAAAGATTTATATAAAAGTTGTAGATCTATTAGAAATACACATATTATAATGTACAACTTTTACTCGTATGACTGTATCCGAGAAAATAGCGAAAATCCTGAATTGGAATTTGTGCTTTTTCCCAAAAAACAATAAGTTCTTGCAATGCAAGTCTAACACTATCGCATAAAGTTACTTCACCGCACGAAGATTAAAAAATAATACACTTAAAGCTTATCTGTTTGATGGCAATTTACTTTCAGTTATTTCACATGCCACTCTCTTATAAACAAGCAAATAAATTTTCTCACGTAATATACTAGCAGAACAGATCGTGACATGAAAATTTGTTTTGACTCGTTCGATATCCCAGAGAAAACTACGCCAGGTAAATGGTTGACTGTGGTCTTGAGTTCTTTAGAAGAATATCTGCTCACTACTAAACTATACCATTACTATACTAAATTACTATGGAGCCCACAAACCAGGTAGCACTTGAACTAGAACACTCAGGAAATAGGGAAGGACACAGATAAACTAAAAGTGCTACGTGCTATATGAAATCCCCTAAATTACCCTCTACTAAAGTATTTGGAGTAGTATTATTTGGGACACTATTTTTTGCATTTTTCTCAGAAACAGTTAGTTATACGAGAAAAAGTTGTACATAATAACACGTTCGTTTTTAACAGATCTACAACTTTTGTATAAAGCTTTTTCTGCCTATAAGTATCATTTTGCAAGATAAATAAATAACATTTAGTTTTTCTTTAATTTTATGGTGTTTTCAATTTTTAAGGGCCCAAGAGCACCTTTTGTCCGATCAAGCTCAAATTTTATACGAATTATTTCTACATAAAATGGAACCAAATTGGGTGGTACACGATAAAAAAATCGTCAAAAAAAGTTTACTAAGAATAAATAAGAGCCACCCTAATGTTACAGTCTCTATAATATTTCGTCTAGCTTTATTATAGATTAAAATAATTTCAATTTAGTCTGCAAATAAATAAAAAAAAATGAAATTTCATGAGTTTGAGGACTTGCCTTGGGGTTCCATATTTACGTGGTAACATTTGAAACGAATCAGTGCACTCAATTCGGGGAATACTTCCACGAATAATTTGATCTCATAGATATACAGTGTTACGTGACGGCCCAGTGGCTAGCGAGGCTGGGGAATTTTGCAGATTCCTCCGAGCGGTATAGTGTTTGTAGAAGAATTCACTCGTACGCACGCGTAACTAGTTTATGATTTGAGAAATATGAACTGGATAACCCGAGTGGCGAAGTCAACCTCTTTAGTGGGATCGATAGGTTTTTGGTCCTCAAAGGGTTGTTGGAAAGTTATAATGAGGACTCAGGAGGGGTTATAAGGTTTCGTGAGAATTAAGTTGTCGTTTTATATTGAACCAAATAGTTCTATTTGTGATGCAATGGGTAAAATGTCCACAGGGGTAAGGTGCGCAAAAGGTATACGGTGCTAAGCGGATCGTCGCGAGACGAGACAAAGACGTTGGAGGCCGCGCGTTAGCGACTCGCGAAAGTGTAACGATATATGCCCGCGTACCAATTGAGGAATGCTGACGCGAGATTCTTTGCTTGCAAGTTGCGCTTTGCCTTACTCAACAAGAGCAGCTAATGAGTTGCAATTTGTATTGTGAGGAATTAGAATTTGGTAGTCGTTATCGGTAGGTGAATACCGACTTCTGTTGCGGATTAGTAAATTGGAATAGGGTTCGAAAGAGAGCGATGAAGGGTGAAAGAGTGAAAGAGTGGAGCTTTTTGAAGAGGATCTGTACCGTGGCTTCGCAGAGGCCTTTAATTCCGGTGACGTCTCTCCCACGTCCTCCTGATTGCGATGAACTGCACGTGAACGCCTTCCAACCAGGGCGTGCCCTAGGGTTGAAGCCTCCTAAGATTCTCTCGCTGGTTTGGAATTCGCAGCGCCGTCGTTTTTCTCACTGTTGGCTCGTGGATGTCGGAGTACCGAAACGCAAAACTGTTACTAACAGTATGGTCAGCTCTTCAGAGAACCCCAGCCACACAGAGTGTCGACTAACTAATTGAGGGTCGGTCTTAGTAGAAGAGAGGTTGACAGACCACCTCAGTCTAGCGACGTGCTCTTTTTTGGTGCCGATTTTATACAAGATATTGTTATTGAGGTGCCCGTAAGGAGAGGGTCCAATTTCCTTGTTTTTTGATTTTGTTGCCAAGGGCTTGATCGGACGTGATCAGAAAGTCACTACGTTGACTGATGAGTAGGCCCCGTGTTTTGGTCCAGAGTGCAGTTTGGTGCGAAAGGCGTGCGAATAAGCCAAAACATCCCTCGATGATTGCTCCACTCGTTGTTATTTTTCCGGGTTAATCAAATGAAACTATCGTTGCTTGGGATTCGATATTTATCTTCTGGTAACTGACTCATACTTAATGTAATGCGCGCCTCTCTATTTTGAGGAAAATAGAGTAGCCTCGTAACAACAGGATGTAATAAAACTCGTAGTCACGGTTTATACAGCGCCATCCTTGTTAAAAAAAGGAATCGACAAGTCCTGTACCATTTTTTTCTACAGTGAATAAATTTCCAGTAGTAACTAATTGAAGCACAGCCAGTCAATCGCGTTCCCCAATGGTAGGCAGATAGCCGATCGCACCTCTACTGGCGTCCCCACCGCTATGCATTCAGTTGGGAGACGTAATTGATTGGCTGTGCTTGAATTAGTTATTACAGGAAATTTATGCACTGTAGGTAAATTGGTACAGGAATTTTCGACTCCTATTTCAGCAAGGATAGCGCCGTATAAATAGTGAGTACGAGTTCTGTTACACCCTGTATATAGGCTGATCCTTTCATAACACTTTAATCGGCACAAACGGTAGTAACTGTGGTGACTTTCCTCAACCGGCACAACGGCTGATTAACATAAATCGTAAAACGGAGCTATTGAGCAAGATAACTCGGAATGGACGTTCTTAATATTATTTTTATGATTAACTTGCAAAATTGACGCCGTACTAAAAATGTTTCGAATGAACATTACTTCTTTTTTCATACAACGCTGTAGTTAACCCTGAAATGACCTTGAAATTAATAATTAGCTTTACCATCGAACTTTTCTTTCAATATCAAAAAACTTCCATTTGGCACTCTTGTCTCAAAAATGCTTGACTCACCATATACGATGGTGTATAAAGTAACACCTCCCCGATGATACGCAAAAAAATACGCGTAGCACTGATTAAGTACCACTGATTTAAAGTAACATCTGTTTAATTTACGTGCCATGCATGCTTTACTCAAACACCTATTAAAATCTACACAAAACATTTTTTTTTTTAATATTGCATGTGATATAATGAAAACTAGTTGATTTAACACATGTAACTCATTGTTCAATATTTATTATAGGCAGAAGTAAATAATAACATGAAAATAAGAAAAGGACAAAGAACTCATTTGTCAATTTTTCCAAATGGGATGTGATCAGACCGTGTGCGATGCTTACTAAAGAAACAGCGTAACATACTTACTCTAAATATACATGGAATGTCCTTCTTTGTCGCGTGTATCACGTCAGAATCTCGTACAGAGCTGACACTGAACTCTTCGTCTCGCATGTCAAGAACTTGCGATACGTAGACAGAGGGCAAAGCGTTTCGATCCGGTGAAATGTCATAAAGAAACAGTTTGAAGTCGCAAACCACAACAAATTGCCGCACCCAGCCCTTTTTAACACCACCCATCTTTGGAACTTTAACATATCCTTCGTACGCTGTGCCGATGCCTCTAGTTGGATCGATACCTAATGGTCGTTTAGCTGTAAAATTACACATTTCCGCCAATCAACGGATAAAGTTAATAACTTATTTTAGTTTACAGCTTACGGGGAAATACCGTTTCTTATTTAGTTCTTTCTGATCTGTCTATGAAATGGCGTAGCAGGAAATGTCAAAGAACATTTTGTCTGTCTGTTTGTTTGGTAATGGCATACTTCGAAATAGTACTTGAATTACGTCCGATAGAAATTGTATAATTCCTAAGTTTACTAGAACTGGACGGTAGTAAGTTATTTAATTTCTGCTTTAGTATTTAATGCTTGTTTATATTAGCAACGAAATGAATTTTCTTCCATTATAAACAGTTGATAGTTAACAGTATAATATTTTGAAGCAACATTTTTAAGCTTTTCTTATTAATTCCGTGACAGGACGAATACAATATCGAGTCACACATATAAATTTATTGTATTCTGACTCTCAACTTTTCGAAAATGAAACAAATACAACTTGTTAGGATTATAACCATATTTTGCAGATGTTCCACATGTATATCAAGAAACTTGGCACATGTGGACATCTGCCGATAGACGTTGAATAACGCATTCTATCTAAAAAATGCAAAACATGAAAAACAGAGATTTTCATTAACCTTTAAAAGCGAAGAACATTTCTTTTCAGTGAAATAAAGATGGAAACATATTGATACGCCCGAAGCGTATAATCCCGAGTCTAGAATAGTACAGTTATTACGAGGCCCAGTAAACTTACTTTGATCATGAGGGACTGGACACATGGCAGGCACCTTGTCGCAACAGGGCATGTGACATGCGAAACCACATACTTCGCATACAACACCTTGCCTAGTTAAACCAACCATTAACGAAGTGCAGTGATTGCACTTGGTTGGAGCTGAAAACGTGCGTACTAAAAACTGGTGAGATTTTGGCTTAGGCTGCAGATTGGACTGACCATGGGACGTCGATGATTTGTTCAGTAATTCATGGGATATAGGAGAAGTCGGATCCTGCAAAAGGTGAAACCACATATTATTTACAAAGAAAGCATTACAACGTTCACATCAATAATCAAATAAATTGGACAAAGACGAATTGACGAATTCAACATTTTGAAGTGAAACTTCTTTAGCGACGGTAGGGTAAATTTGATTCATGGGAAGGATTTGTAAAACCAAAAAGTAAAAGGTTGGGAGAAGAGGATTCGTTTGGACGGGGAGGGGGCTACTTTGTCTTTGCGGGCAACTGAGTGGAGCGCTACCATAGACAAGAGGAAAGGAGAAACGGAAAGGTGGGTCTACCATATTAGAAGAAAAAGGGGAGGGGGAATTTTTTATATACGTCATGCTCCTATACGTTATATGGAATTTTGGCGATTCAGTACTGATTAGTGTGCCTGCTAATAATTCATCACTTTAGATGCCTAAGTCAGATACAGAAAAAGGAAGAGAAATTCGTGAAAGGCTGAAATTAAATCTCCTTAAAAAAAAAAGAACTCCCGCGCGGTAGACGTGAAACTTCTTAGTTTGGATGAAAGTGATAGGATTAGTAGGGATTAAAATGCCTCATTTAATTATCTATAACTAAATTGATTCTCAATCACCGCTGAATGTATAATAGACGTAAAATATATATTGTGACGATGTACTCTGCGGGCTATCGTCCCAGGGACAAAATGTTAGTGTCTATTTCTGAACAACATTAAATCATTGTCGAAAGCAGTGAAATGATATTTCATTTGATTTTATTTCATTCATCTCTCATTTCAACCCGCTCGACGCTCGAGGCCGAAGAGCCGAGGTGGCTTAGTATTAATGGCGTTACCTAAATTTTTAGTAATCATAAGTTGCGTATCGGTTAGACATTAGGATGTCCTAGCGGTGCGGCGAGTGCGGACAGCGCCGACATCAACATCCAGGACTATCATTGTGGAACAAGGGCGCCTTCGAGGGACCACGGGCGAAGAAGCGACGGTGGCAACGAAGTCTCGCCCCGCCGCCGCCCATGGATGCCGGGGCCGCGCGGAGCAGGGCCGTGCAGAGCCATCCGCGGCCCCACGTTTTATGGCAGGGGCCCACTCATGGCGGTGCCGTCCGATCACCGCGTTCGCACCCGGACTTCCGGCCCCTAACCGATGACGAGAGTAGGGCGTACTACCGGAGGTAGTGGACCCTCCACCTACAGGACCTTTGGCTCAAGGGAGTCCCTATAAGGGCGGCGGGGCATTTGTATCGCCCTTCTGCGTCGAGGCCAGAGCGTGGTGACCCAAAGGCGGAAGGGCCCACCGGTCTCCTCACCCGGGAGCCGTCACATCAAGGGATGCCGGTGCCCTCGGGTTACACCACGAGGAAAAACTCTGGTTCAAGAAAGCCTAGGGCCAGCGTCACCGGATCCCCGAGAAGCTACGCCCCTGGATAGCATCCGCCGCCATTCCGATGACGTCATGTTCCAGTCTCGCATCCGATTGGACCGCGGATCCTACTTCTAACCCAGGGCGCGAATAAACGCGCCGAGTTGGCTCACGCTGCGGCTGACAGCGTTTGGAATTTGGAAAATTCCGAGCTTGACCGCTGTCAATTGGTCGACGCAACTTGGCAGCCGACGGCGGTCAATCATCGAGGACTTTGAACCGTTGCCGAGGAACCACACCGAGCCTGTCCGGAGGACCACGGCGAAGATTAAGTCTTCGTGGTCTACGAGTGCCGAGCTGTACGGACGTGTCCAACATTTCTTTGCTGCCTTCAACCAGTACTTTGCCCCATATTTCATCGCTGCTTTCCAGTACATCGTTCATCACTTGTGGAAGATCGCCGCATCTGGTGGCCTTATCACTGAGGGAACATCGCCGCACTCGTCGAGCCCGATGTTTGAGGGTACGATTTTTGAACAAGGTTTGAATAGCATTTGATTAGTCTGGATTAGATTTTCCCGTTTCGCAATTTCCCCGGGTAACCTGTCGCCGAGCCACGCGCCACGCAGTCTGCCCTTCCGGGTGTAATCGGCCATTGTCTCGTGTGAGCGTTCATTTTTATCTTCTTTCGGCCTAGTCTCGTAGGAGCGGCCTATTTTTATTATCTTTTGGCCAAAGTCTCGTGGGAGGGGCCTTTTGTTTTGAACTAATCGCACTGTTGTCTCTCTTCTAGGTCGAACCGGGAATCCGTGTCGATCCGAAAGCAGGAGTTGTCCTGCACAGTCGACACGTAACAATTCCGTCTTCACGAAGTACGAAACCCCTTTTTGGTACGTTAACATTTTTTTTGGTGCCTTAAATCCGAAGCAATTAACGAAGTGTAATTAAGGAGTGCTACCTGCTTGGAATTAACCAAGGACGTGGAGCAATTAACCAAGTGTAATTAAGGAGTGCTACTAGTGGCTTAGTGCAAAGGTATTCTTTTGAATATGTTATTTATGCCGTCGATTATTAGTATTGGTAATACAATTTGAAATTCTTGTAGCAAAAACCCTGCCTGCTTTCGAGTTCCGATTCGAGAAATCGTAGAAATTCTTTATTCGATCCGAAATCGTAAAAATGCATTATATTTCGGTCAGAAATCGTGGGAATGGACGCAGCTTGATTCAATAACTTCCCTAACATTGGTTATACCGAAGCTCGTCAAATCTTAATTATGTCCGAAACGCCTGTGTATCTCGCGTAGCTTGTCTGTGCTCACAGATTCTGAATTGCTGCCTTTTCTTTCCCTTTTTATTGCTGCTTAAAACGAGCCGAAATAATAATTGCCGAAATTCCTAAGTGCCTTGGGTGAGTTATAAACCGCCGGATTGTTTACCGCCGAATATTTTCCCCGCACTTAGGCGTCGTCTTTAATTTCCCTGATTTCATTTAATCCCGTGTAGATATTTGTGAGCGAGCGAACCCGTGTAACTTTCACATATAACTTAATTGGTTGAAGAACCTTTTGTAACTCCGTTTAGCTATCGGGATATTTTCGTTCCGCCGTAGAGTCTGAAGTTAAAATCGACACTATTCTTGCGTAGTCTTCTAGAATTTTCGTCCCGTTAGCTTCCTTTTTGTTGAATAAATAGGTTATTAAATTAATTCCGCCCCGGGATTTATTTTTTGATAAAGGACCCCGCCCTTTCCGCGGTCGCTAGTGCGTACTGAGGTAACCCGGTTATCTTTCGTCGTCGACGACGCTGTGTCGCCTCGTACCGCTGTCTTCCGTTATCTTTTCGCATGTCTGGGACTTTTGGTTAATTTCGTTTTGGTTTGGTTGAGGGACCGACCCCTCAGGCCTCATCGGTGGTGCGTGAACTCTCGTACGATGGTGCGAGCCCCGACGGATTTGATCCTTGCGGTTCAGGCCAGGATTCACAAAAGAAACGTGGAGCCATGACTTGGTAAAAGAACAACACAAATGTGTGAAATATCGGCCACGATAGCGGGAAAGGCGATACGATACACGGAGCACAATATATGCACGATATCGGGACGCCACCCGTGACTCTTAACGATATTTAATCCCGGGACGCCTCGGAACTACGCAAGGGACAACTCAGAATTACACGGAGGGCGGCATACATCGTTCGGCGATTAGTCGGACACGATCGGGAGTCGTCAGCGACTCGGCGGGAAATCTACGGGAAAGACGGCGCAATCTCGAAAAATAGCGGAAACTATCGGGAAATCAGATAGCGGCGATTGGAATCATGAAAAGACAACGCAAGAAATCAGATACAGAAACGAAGTCGGAAACGGCTCACACGGCTTAAAGAAAAATGGAGATCGGTAACGGCTCACAGCACGCGACTCATCGGGACGGAACAATGGCAGCAAAGAGGTCCCCTGGGCAGGCTCGGGCTCACCGGTACAGCTCTCGCTTGGCCGGAACGGTAACTCCTTGCTGGAGGCGGCAGCGCTGAGACGTCCTTCGGGAGACGAGAAGGTATGACGCCCTTCAGGGAGCGGGACGGCACGGCGACCTTCGGTATTCTGGTTTCAGTGGAAAATGCTGCCGCTGAACGGGACGGTAGTCAAATGTGATGCAACCGGTGTGGTAGTCTCTCTGGTAATGTCGGTTCCCCTGGAAGATCTTCCGTTCCAGCGCCGTTGTCCCCCTTGATGGGTTATGCGAAATTCCTTACCGGGCTCCGACCTGCCATCTTCGCCTAATCAAAGTAAGTCACTAGACCGCATAATTAGGGCGGCTTAGTGACCTACTTTGGTGCATTAGTATTTAATTTTTCATTCATGTATCATTTTATGTTCATGTTCATATTAATTATTTTTCAGATTTGTTGAGTTAAACATTGATATTCAGTCAACACTTATTGGTTTAATGTAAGCAAGGAAAGTATAATTTCAATTTAACAGTACGTTGTATTATACGTATAATATAAGTATAATAAATAAGTCAAGCGTTAAGGTGTAAATTTTACTATCGATACAGGACTTTTTATTTTATTAAATACGTTATGCCGCTCGAGCAGAAAATTTTGTCCAAACAACAATTGCGTCGTAAAACGTATACGAATGTGCAAATAGCTTTGTCAACAGTTGAACGTTATAACCATGATGATAAGTATTTAAATCTCTTTCATAAAATTCGAAAGTCTCAAGTTGATGATATTTATCCAACAAATTATATTAAAACTAAAACATTGCCATACACACCAGATAAACAAACGTTGCAAACTTGTTCCAGCAATAGATCTAATGTATCAACATTAGAAACAGAAAAGGGGGCAGATGTGAATGCAACATTGAAAAAGCATACTATTTCTTCATTAAATAGTCATTCTAATATTGATGATTAATAATGGTTCAAATAATAAATATCGTAGGAAACTATTTGAAAGTAATAATACTCTCAACGTACAACAATTGTCTAATAATTTCGACGACGATTCTTGTACATTATATTCTAGCGGTACTGAAAACAGCATTTCAAGTACAGATGAGAAATCAAAGGACAATAATAGTTACGTTTTTTGTGAACAATTGAAAATATGGACTTTTAAGCATAATATTACTCATGCGGCATGCAGTGAT